TTAATAACAAGTTAAAACCTAAAAAATGGACGGCGAAATTCAAGCACTCCAGACTATAGTCACCGAACTACAACGAAAAATAGCTTCAATGGAACTTGCTAATCCAACATTAACTCCTCAAGCGGAGGAAAGGGATGACGTATGTGTATACAATTATGCACAGGAGATAGATTTAAACATGTTCAAACTAATAGGAACATTCAGCGGCGATCCTAAAGAATATCGACCATGSAGAAAAATAGTGACCACTCACATGAATAACATTAAGCAATTCAGTGGAACAAACTTATTTACTCAAGCAGTGCTCATAATTTTAGGGAAAATAACGGGCAGTGCATCACAGGTTCTAAAACTAAGCGCCCACGATGATTTGAAATCGCCTGCCATTATTATCGGTGATTTTCCTCTGCTTTCTAAGGATAATTCCAAGTGGGAAGTCTTCAAATTCTCTAACGGACACACTGGGACGAGCATAGCAGCTTACGTAATAAATCCCCCCTATTTGCGCCCATGTAAAGCCATTTTTTGCTTCTCTGCAGCAAGATGTGAATGTTCATCCATTGCAGAACCATATTGCTGCTTTGCCACTTCTGTCAGTAATCCAAGTGCTTTCCGAACGTTGGGAATATTACTCACTCAGTAAGACGACATCAATGTTGCTATTTATTACGGTTTGTTGCAGCAGAGCTTGTGCTGCAGCGCATTGGTTTAGGTTCAGCTGAAATATTCTCATTTCTCCATTGTCTTTAGCAACTCCTCGTATTTGGGGCAAGTCGCACTTAGGACCGAATGTTCTCCTTTGCAGAGCATGCAACTCGGTGTGTTAGTGCATACTTTTGCAACATGTCCCGCGCTTCCACAACGTGTGCAAAGAGAGGACCTGTCGGTCAGACTGCAACATTTACGCGCCATTTGGACTGGATGGAAGCATCTGTAACAGCGGGAAACAGGGGAGTACTCCCGGAGGCGACAGTTCGACCACCCAACCTTTACTTTGCCAACTTTAAGGGCAGTCTTGGCATCTTGGGCACGCAGGCACCTATTTGAGTGCCGCTTCTTGTTTTCCGCTTATTTTTAACATTAGCTGGCCCTATGTTTTGTATTCCGCACTCTTTTTCTAATGCGCAGCAAATTTCTTCTGGAGAAGTTATCTCATCCAGATCTTTGCACATAATAGTGACGTTGTGTGTTTTTGGTTGTACTACAGCCATCTCGCCAACCACTCTCTCTAGGGCGCTCTGAAAAGTTTCAGCTCTTTTGTCTCCTTGACTTTTAAGCTCTATGAGCAGGTCTCCTTTGAGAGTTTTCCTGACGTAGGTCACGTTTGAACCTAGTTCCTCAAGGCCACTGTCACCTTTAATTTTACGGAGGATATCTGCATACRAGGCTCCGTCCTTTTTTGTTAGAATTATAGCGTCTGGTTTCGGCCTAATTCTCTTCTCCATGGGCCTCTCTTTTTTCCCACTTCTACCCATTTCTCGGGTGCTGGTTTATTTGTTGCGGTGTCTTTAGTATTTGTTTTGCTGACTTTACTAAAGGTTCCTTGCAATTTTTGAGTCATGTTTTTTGGCTTCTTCGTAGGTGGTAGGAAGCCTGATGTCTCCCGTGCTCTTTTGGGGGTATTTTGCGGCGATACTTGTGACGCTTTCCCTACCATCACTATTTTCGAAAGGATTTCGGGATTTTCTGATTTACCATACAAGTATGTTATGCTGCTTACAAGCTCTCGCATGGCTTGGTTTATGTGTCTCTGTCCGGACATCATATTTTCCAGCTCCTTTATTTTTCTGCCCAATCACAACCACGCTGTGCCTGGATTGCTGTTCTCAGGGTAAACAATTGTATTAAAAACAAATTTTGCCGCGGAAAAATGGGCAGGTATGTAAAATAATTTAATATAAGATACAAAATTGTATTTATCTCTTTCAATATTAATTGCCCACTTGCGTCCGTCACCTGATTAAACACAATTAGCTAAAGCTGCCTCAAAACACTTCGAAAAAACTATGGAAAACACTGGACCGCACAAAAACACGTCCGATTTACACAATTATCACAAGATATGTATATATGTGGGCTTGCGTATGCATCATTTGCGTTGGAATGTCATACGCACATATTTACATGTGTACGCATATAAGTATGCGTCCGGCAATGTGGTACACATATGCATATGTATGTACATATAGCAGCAGTGCGCGAGTTAATTTTTACATTTAAGACCCTCCCCTTTGTTAAAATTAAATGTCCTCATTTCAAAACATCTAGGCTTGAGTCGGCTTATAATAATTAATTATTGTATATGCTTGATTAATTTTTGTACTTATAATTTATACCATTTTATATTATATAGTAATTTGTTAATTTTCTTTTTGGCTTGCCTTGTTTTCGGTGCTTTTTTTTTGGGAATTGTCGCTGTCCGCTGTTCCAGGGTCTGTTGTGAGTCTTGCTGAATAGCCGCTGTCCGTTTTTTCAGGATCTGCTATTAATTCATCCTGGAACTATTGTCCGCTGTTACAGGACTTATACTTATATCCATTGCCATTTGTTTCTGCACTTTTTTCAGGCATTTTGTGCTGGAAGTCCTACTTCCCGTGTAATTTTTTGATTTATTAGTTTCGGAATAAAATCTGGCTTTTCGGATAGCAAATAAATTTGCCATCCCGGTTAGCCCCCAGTTAATTTTTACATTAAGTAAAAAATAGTCAAAACAATTTATTTTGAGCTGCACCGGAATGTGTACTCTTTATTTATACTCCTAAGACTAACTTATTACATGGTTCTTACTTCTATTTATAATAACTGGTATGTTTACTTATTACTAGTTGATAGTTTCTTTAAATACAGATTATATTATTTGTTTAGGTTTGTTTATATATATATTGTTTGCTTAGATACATTTGTTTTGTCTTAAGATAAGGTTGTAGTGGTATTCAAACTCAATGTTGTTTTGACTACTACGATTTAGATATAATATTATTGTGATATATTATAATAAGTTGTTTAGGATATTATGATAGTATGTCATATATGTATATACATATATAGCATATCTACATACTCATATGTAAATTTATAATATATTATCAAGCATATGAAATCTTTAAAAAGTGGCTCTTATTTGTACATTAACTACAAATGTTACTTTGAAAATAGCATAATTTAATGATGAAGTTATAAATTTTGCATGCATTCACAAAAACTCGTAAAATGATATTCCATATCAATTAATACTATTGCATGTAAACATATAGAATTATATGAAAAAGGCTAACATACGTCTGCAATAAGAATGTATATTTCTGTGCATAATTTCCATTGAATGGCTCAGCTCTGTTTACGCTCCACTGTTAAGACTTCTCCTTCTTAGCTAGATGTGGTGAAACACGTTCATCGCATTTTGTTAGCTTTTGACAGTTTACACGCCTGTCCGTTGTTGGACCTTCTCTATAAATATACGTTCTCTGATAGTCGTCGATGGCGTCTCTCATTTGCTTCATTGTTGTAAACTTCATTGCCAAAATGCTTTGTTGGAGTTCTCTATGTTTTAATCCAGCTCTTGCATAGCGTATGATGGCTGCCTCTCTCAGTTTGTAACGTATACTTAGTACCGCTACTCGAAAGCAATATTATTTTACGATTGCTTCTGGTTTCCTCATTACATTGGCCATCACGAAACCAATTTCCGCCTCGTCTCGATCTGACCAAATTCGTGTCGTAACGCATTAGCAAAATTTTCACCAGTTGTGTGCAATGTGGGTGATGCATCCAACCACATACGTGCAACTCCTCTTGGTCGTGTATAAATGCTTCAACTACTCGATCGACTCTGCCAATAAATTGCTCTACCGTAATGCTTGCGTTATTTGTTGGATTAAATTCTGACAGGGTATTTGCAATTTCTTTTACTGACGCGTGTCGCATATTTCCGTTCGTTGAAATATTCCTGTTGCTTTGAATGTGTGTTGTAACGTTGTTGTTAGGCCACAGTGCTGTCGTCGTTCGTTGAAATAGCGTCAGTGGCGTGATTTTAAACGCCTGCGCCGCCCTTGAGTACGACTGTGCTATTGTTGCTAGCTGCGTTTTGTACCGTTTGTACCTCTTGCATGCTGGCTGCACCGGTGCCGTTATTTCGTGCTTGTAGTAGCTGTACCATCATTTCACGTAACTGCTTCATCTCTTGCTGCAGTTGTGCCACCGTTTATACCTCGGATGACTCCTCCGTAACGCTGATTTCTTGGATGTCCACCTCGTCGGACTTCTCATATGCGATAAGACGTTGCAACAACTGATCTCGCGTGCAGTCGTCACTAATTGTCTTTCCCGTAGCAACCGCTTTATTTGTTCAAATCACTAATTTTCACCATCGCATTGCTTTTATGTATCGTTTATATATATCTGCAGGTGCCTGTAGCCCTTCACCAACGCACATATACTTACATATGTAAGTAGGCGTGTAGGACGTAAATAGTATACGGATGAGGTTTATCCTCCCACTTCTGAACTGTAAAACACTGAACTCGCGTCCACTCGTTATAACTGACAGTCAAACAATTTAAAACAAAGAACTTTATTAAAATATTTGAAAATATGACACTTTATGCAAATTTATAAAACGTTCTCAAACATTGCGTACTCGTTTTTTTAAGTTGTTCACTCGCTGATGGTTGCTTTTTGATTGTGCCCTTTTGGCACAGTATATACAGTAGACAACCTTTTCGTGGTAGCTTTCTGAGGGGTGAATAGCGGCCATCTTGGATTTTCAATGGTAGCAACGCAGTGCTGTATATATTGAGGTAGTAAATACTTAGCAAATTTATTCTATAAAATAACAAAAGCTATAAATATTGTTGTTTAATATAAAAGGAAATTATTTATTAAAGACATATATTTATTAATATTTGATTTAAACGCCATAGTGTGTCATGTTTCGCGCATAAAAATAACTTTTACTGATAGTCAGATATTCTTTATGTAGTGAGTTCTTATTAATAAAATGCAGCCTGTCTTTATATTTCTCGGTGGTGAGTTTTCTTCTGAATGTATTTGTTTACATTTGACCAACAGAAAATAAAGTGCAGATTTCCATATTCGAACATTCAAATTAAATAAAAACAAAGTTTACTTTGTATAAAGTTACTAAATATTTTATTTAAAGTCTAATAATTGTAGTGAACATAAGTTTTATACAAGAGAAAATGTCCGTTGGACCAGATATCGCCAAAGAAGCGGAAAATACACCCATCGTGCGGGGCTATGATTGGAATCAGGGAATTGATTACTCAAAATTATTTGAGTCGTATGTTAATACGAGGTTTCAAGCTACTAATCTTGCGTTGGCAGTAAGAGAAATCAATCTAATGGTAATCAAATTTTTATGGAACGGTTTATGTATTTTAAAATATTCTTAGCTTGATTGTAGGTTGAAGAAGACTTTATTAAACGCCTAGCACCTACGTACATGGGATCATTCGAATTATCTGGCGAAGATTTACGGGATCGTGGTATAAATCGTATAGGTAATTTGATTGTACCGAACGATAATTATTGCAAGTTCGAGGATTGGCTCATGCCGCTACTTAATAAAATGGTTGAAGAGCAAAAAGCGAAAGGCATTTGGTCTCCTTCTCATATTATACAACTACTTGGGGAAAGGATAAACGACACCAGCTCAATATACTACAGGGCTGCGAAACATAAAATACCTGTGTTTTGCCCTGCGCTAACAGGTGGTATGATGTATTTCCACTCTTTCCGTTACCCCGGATTAGTGGTAGATATTTTGTCCGATTTGCGATGTCTAAACACTATGGCTGTGAAAGCCACCAAATCGAGAATGATGATAATTGGTGGCGGTATTATAAATCGGTGGTTATATCACATATGCAATGCGAATTTGATGAGAAATGGAGCCGATTATTCCGTTTTTATTAACACAGCTTCGGAATTCGAT